CAAACTTCAACATAATGTATTAGCTTTATTCTCAGGCTCTGTGGGTATAGGGGACTCTATTAGAGCTGAGCTTCTAGCGGCAGTACAAGGTATTCAGATTGCAGACCAGTTAGGAGTTCAGAATTTGCTTATTGAAGGAGACTCCAAAGTCATTGTGGTTTGGTTAAAAAATCTAGCTTCAGTTATTTGGTGCTACAGGGATATTATGAAGAATGCTTATTGGTTTTCAAGGAACATGACTGTTAATTATCAGTGGGTGGGTAGAACAGCTAATACCATAGCGGATGGGTTAGCTAAGCAAGGGGTATCAAGGGAACATTTCTTCTGGGCAACTCTGTAAACTCTCATCTCCTAGTCTGATGTAGTACTTTGTTGTTGTTGAGGAGAGGTACCAGCATGTGCCTCTCCTTGGGCAGGCTGTTTTGTAATTTCATTCTGATTATTATGAATAAATTATCAATCATTTATCAAAAAAAAAAAAACTTCTAAATGTGGGGAGACCAGTGGTTGGTTCAATTTTCTTGTATTTGACATCTTTGATGTTCTGCTTTTTCTTATCTTTTATTGTTGATGATCTCTCACCAACCTCTGAGCGTACATATTTTATCAATCAATGAATGTTCTTTTTTATTTATTACCAAAAAAATTATATGGCGGGCCTAAAGTTTCTTTAATTGTACAGCCATCACAAAAATTTAAAAAAGAGTCCTACAGAAAATAGAAACCTTGATTATATTTAGAGGGCTACTGTCAGCTGTTGAGCTGTATTGTATTGTGTATATATATTTATATAATTTAATACAATTTATGGATACTGATAAAAAGGCCTGCTGACCCTATTATTTTCATGGGTTTTCTTTTAGCCAATGGGATTGAATCTCTCACAATGAGATTATTAATCAGCTAATTCAAGCAATCCGTTGTAATGGTTGGTCACTATGTAATCTATTTAACCTTATGTTTACTTAAAATATTACTGGATGTTAACTTGACACTCTTTTGTTTCCTTTCTTTTCTTTTTTCTTTATTTTTTCTTTCATTGAGCAGATGCGCTCTCTCGAGCATATTGCAAATGAGTTAAAAGATCGCTGCCAAATACTATACAACGGGTGTAAGAAATTTGTGTAAGTACATCCATGGTTCTATTGTTGAATCAGTTACATTGTATCCAATTATAAAGTCTATGATTCCTTGTACACTCTCTCAAGCAGTCTATGATCCTTTGTGATGCAAGAATTAGAAGTGGCATAGAGGGTCTAATATGTAACATTGATATTGAGAAGGCATATGATCATGTGGAATGGGGTTTCTTGGAGGAGGTGCTGGAGAGGATGGGGTTTGGGGGAAGATGGAGAAGCTGGATATTTGGCTGCATTTCTACAGTCTCTTTCTTAGTGTTGGTGAATGGGGTCTCAACAGAATTCTTCCAAGTTTCAAGGGGGTTATGGCAAGGAGACCTTTCTCCTTTGCCGTTTGTTCTAGTGACAGAAGTTTTGGGTAGACTGCTGATCAAGAGGGTTGAAAAGGTACTTGCTATAACCAACTGGGCCTGAACATCTGAGAAGAATGTCGTTACCATGATCTGTATTAGACCTCCAATTCTAGATGTGCCTGGATTACCAAGACTGCAATGTAAAAGGATATATATTCATTTCCGTGTTATATTCTCATTCATAGTTTGTTACTATTCATGCGTCTTTATTTATCTGTATACAGGCACTATTTTGCATAACTAATTCTTTCTAATGCACTGTGTAGTTGTCCATGTTCAGAAATTTATGTTGTAGTTATGGCAGCAAGAGAGGTTTCTAATTTTTTATTTCAATCTTTGCAGGGCAGCACTTGGAGAGGCATATAATGGAGATATTGCTTTTGCAGAATCTCTGGAAGCATTTGGGGGTGGAAATGATGATCTATTTAGTATATCAGTAGGAGGTTGTTGAAGCATTTCATGTTCATTTTCTTTGTATCCATTCATGGATCATGAAAGAGGTTGTAATGGGCTAGGGCTCTGCCTATATCTGAACATCATATATGATAACCATGATGAATAAATGGATAATGATGCGTGATACACATGCATAGGTGCATGGGGGGGGGTTAGAAATCAATAAGACAACCATGATGGTCCAGGATCTATTGATAACCAAATCTCCTACTGATCGTCCACTCCTTATACTCTTTGGCACCATTCCCAATGCTATTTGCTCACAACATACGTTCTCAATGTTAAGGAGCAGGACTTCAATGGCTTTTTAATGACTTCAAATTAAAACAGGTTGCTCCATTGCAACCCGGGTGACCAGGGTTTAAATCTTGGAAACAACCTCTCTGTATGTGCAGGGGTAAGGTTGCATACATCTGTCCTTTCCTTCCCCATACCTTGCATTGGTGGGAGCCTTGTGCATTGGGCTGCCCTTTATATTAAGAGTGGAAAACGAGTAGTTCTTGTCTAATTTCTGTAACTGTTGAACTAATGATTGGTGATTAGAATGAGTATAAATAGTGTGTGAACCCACTAATAAATAAATTCCATGTATTTCCTCAATCATGTTGGTTCACCTCCTTTAGGAGCCGACCCATAGGCATCCCCTAGCAGTTATTCCAATCACTTGTTGGGCTATTTCCATCAATAAGTGATGTATTTCCTCAATCATGTGATTGTTTCCCACTGATTATCAGTACAATATTCTTGATAAATAATAACAAATTCACATTTAGAAGATAAAATGTATTGGTTTGTGCTGACTTTTTGTACAGGGTTAGGACTGACTTTTTAAGTAGGTCTCACTGGAGACATTATGTATGTCTGAATTATGCAAAACCATTTTATTCATTTATTTCCTTTACCTCATGCTTTTATTTCCTGAAACAATGCATTGGTTTGTGCTGAAAATGATCCTATTAGGTTGATTTAAAGTTAGAATACTATTAGGTTGATTCTTCTAGAATATTTTGTACAGGGCACCCAGTTTTTGATGTTGGTTAGTCCTGCTTTTACTTTTTCAAACCGAGTCTAGGGGATTTCTACTGAATGTGTCTGTACACATAATAGAAAATCTTAACTATTGCTAGTGTCTATACCTATATATGTATTTATATCCATATATACACTATATATATGACAGAGACACACATGTATTCTTAGGTAATAGATTTTGAATTTCATTTTATGTCCAATATTTGCTCAGCCATTTATCACTTTTGTAGGGCCCATCATATCCAAATTCATTAGTGCATTTCAGGAGATGGCTGCATATAAGGATCTTCTTCACTCCCAGGTAAATTCCCCATTGCCATTTCTCTTTTCAATAAATGGTCAAGTCTTGGCTTGCCATCATATTTATTATTTTCTTACATGGTTTAGTATTTGGCTTGTTTTAACTTAACTTTCACCTAGTATAATCTGATGATCTTTGTGCTTTCTATTGCTTATATCAGATACATTGAAAACCCAAAGGTTGCCTTGCATCAAGTCCCCTTGTTCCCCCCATGCCTCAAAGTCCCCCCCACCTACCCACCCACACACACACACACATGAAAAAAGAAAACTACCATTTCTATTTGCTCTCCTTTCTGCAACATACCTCTTCCGATGCTCTAACTCCAAAGCACCTTTCCAATTGCTAATTCTCTGTGAACTAAAAGCTGAGTTTAAAAATCTCAAAAACCAATCAACTGCTTCTATTCCCTAATCACTAGAAAGTCTTCTTGTCTTCTTTTTAATCCACCTTTCTTCAAAGATAAAAATCTTAGCTTCTATCTTCACCGACGTCCAAAACAAGATAGTCATCTTTCTTATACAATTCAATTATCAGAGTACCAATCCTACATAAAAGGAAGAAACAACATGAGTGACCAAGGGGGAGAAATCTACATGGCTTCAACAATCCAAAACACAAAAGTTCTTTTCCAAGAACTCTCCTGCTCCCAAGACATCTCATCTTGCTTGTATAGGGGATCATCATAACCCCTCTGATTCGGAATGCTTTTAACTCGCCTCTCCAACTTCACCCTAGCTTCTTATCCTCCTTTTTGCCGTTATTACAAGTCTTTGCTCCCGTCCTTCCTTTAAGTCACCTGACATTATTTTCGGCTTTGCTATGGAGGTAGCTAATTGTAGGTTAGATTGAATCTTCTTGGTTTCCTTAATCTCATTTGCTTGGGTGGGAGTAATAAGAAATGATTGAAATACCCATAATTTAACAGTGGATATGGCACTGAGCAGAATGAAATGGCGAAACAGGATTCATATAACCAACACCATATAGTTTGGGACAAGATGTAGATTATTATTATTATGCATATCACTTCAATTTCAATGAATATGCTTTATAGTTTTTTTTTTTGATCAGCAAGTCAAGAAATTATATTAAGATTAAAGAAAAATAGAGTACAACAAGAACTTGTTAGGATAAAGATCCTTTACAACAAAGAATCCCCCACACAGTTAACATTGGGCCCAAAACAACTGGTGTCTATGAACTCCTTGCTTAGCTAATCCATTCGCCAAATCATTAGCAGACGTCCTAACCCATCTTACATGGATTTGCATATTTCTTGATAGCAACTTGAACCTTCTGAATTTGTTTATGAATTGCAATGAAACCCCTTCTCCTTTTTTCAACCAACCACTGACTATTTTTGCGTCCCCTTCAACAATCAGCCTTGTAATTCCCATATACTTGGCTTTTTGCACCCCAACAATAACAGCCATGAATTCAGCTCTCACTGAATCACCTTGATGAACAGGACCTGAAAACAAACCACAAATGTTCCCACTCCCATCTCTAAACACTCCACCAATTCTGGAAGGCCCTGGATGGCCAAAACTACTTCCATCAAAGTTCAGCTTCATCCACCTGCCACTTGGGGGACACCAAGCCTCCATGACCTTTTGTTTCCTAGAGGAAGAAAGAGCAATCTACCTCTAGATTCAGAAAGTCTTCCATTGAGAAATATGAGAATAATTTCGAAGTTTTCCCCAACATGCAACTCTTATAGTATCAGTCTCCAATATTCCCTCCTTGTTTCTTTCTTCCTCCTCAAAGATTCTTAAGTTCTTGTCCTCCCAAATTGACCACACCACCACTGCCCTTGCACACTTCCATAAGATTCTACCTCTTCTCTTTGTGCTCCTCAGAAAAGATGGGCTAAAGAGCCCTTCCAAGCTGACATGAGGGATCCACCTGCTACCAAAAAGAGAGCAGAACCATTTCCAAATACAAGGGACAAGAGATTAAAAGATGGAAAAACATTCTCACCATTCAACTTACACAAAATGCACCAATTAGGAGACAAACACCAATTTGGCCTTTTCTTTTGTAGCATATCACACTTGTTGATGCACCCATGATAAACTGCCCAACAAAAGGCACTGATTTTTTGTTTTTTTTGGGGGGGGGATAGGGGCACTCCAAACTTCTTCCACGGGAAAGGAATGGAAAAGGGAGGTGGACACAAGGGAAGAGAAAAAGGATTTACAGGTAAATAATCCAAAGGGACTGAGACTAAACCCTACTGTCATCCCCTATATCATCAAGGACAAGGCAATCTAGAATATTTAATAGGCTAGACAGTGATGAGATTTCTGACTCTCTAAGGTCTCTTACTAACCCCAAATTCCAACCCTCCCAGGGGGAGGGAGATTTAATCCCATACACAAAGTTGTAAAACCTTATTTTTTACCTAATTTTTAATAAAATTCTCTTTTCTGATAAAAAAACATATCTTTCAAGGGAATATCCCTAACCCACACATTTCCCCAGAATCTTATCCTATTACCAGAAGCCAGATCATACCTGACATGCTCAAGGAATTGAGGAAGAATACCATGAACTGCTTTCCACGACACAGCAAGATTAGCTTTTTGCAGAATACCGACATCCCATCCATTCCTAGCAAGCCCATGAATACTTAAAACCACTTTATGCCACAACCTGTCATTCTCTAAGGGGAAACACCACAACCATTTATTTAGAAGAGCAAGGTTTTTCTTATTGATGTTACCTGGACCCAACCTACCCTCTTCTTTCCTTTTCACCACCTTTTCCCATTTCACAAAATGATCCTTTTTACTATCTTCCGGTTCCCACAGAAAGCCTCTTGTTTGTTTTTCCACCCTCTTCACAACTGCTCGAGGCATCCTAAAAACAGACATGAAGTAGGCAGGGAGGTTAGCCAAGGTTGATTTTATCAAAGTGATTCTCCCCCCTAGAGAAATGTACCTCCTTTTCCAACCAGCTAATCTTTTTTCAATTCTCTCAACTGCCGGATTCCAAAAGCTTACAGACCTTGGGTTGCCACCAAGAGGTAAACCTAAATATTTCAGCGGCCACTCCCATCTTTTACACCCTAGAATATCCGCAAATGAGTTTAGGTCCTCTTCTTCAATGTTTAAACCAACCACCACACTCTTGTTCCAATTGATTTTTAAGTTTGACATTCTTTCAAAGGGGCTCACCACCAACTTCAAAATTTCCACCCTATTTCTACTTTTCCCATCGCAAAAGATGAAAATGTCATCTACAAATTGGAGGTGGGAGACTACCACTCTATCTCTTCCCACCTTCCAATCTTTAAGGCACTACATTTGGTTAGCCATAGCAATCAACCTACTAAGAACCTTTGCCACCAAAATGAATAGGAAATCTCCTTGTTTAAGCCCTTTAATTGCTCTCATAAAATCCACCACTGAACCATTCACAACTAATGAAAAGTGACTGGTTTGCAGGCAACCTTTGATCCACTTATACAACAAATCTCCAAAACCACAAGATCTCATGATGCTAATTAAGAACTCCCAATCCACCAAATCATAAGCTTTCTCCAGGTCCAACTTAATTGCCACACCCTTTTCTTAGATCTCTTTTGGGCCTCAGCACATTCATTAGCAATGAGAATTTGATCCACGATATGTCTGTTTTGTATAAAGGCTCCTTGTAATGGGAGATGATTGAAGGAAGATCTTTCTTAATCCTCAGAGATAACACCTTAGCAATTATTTTATAAATGCTAGTAACTAAGATAATTGGTCTGAAATCCTTAGGGTGAGTAGCATTAGACTTTTTTGGTACCAAGGTTATAAAGATAGAATTCAGCCCCTGATTAATTATACTCCTGTGGAATTCTTTAAACACTCTAAGCAGATCCAGTTTAATGATCTCCCAGAAATCTTGATAAAAGGCCATTGTAAATACATTTAGGCCTGAAGCTTTAGATCTGTCCATAGCAAAAATTGCTTCCTTGATCTCATCTTCCTCAAACCATTTTTTCCAGGAATTGGAGCTGAGAATCATCAATTGACTCCCAATTCAGCGCTCCAGCAGACCATCTTTCACCTAGAGGCCTCAAATAAATGATCTAAAGTGATCCACAAAGGCCTTAGCTATCTTTGCTCGATCTGTGATTTCCCTGCCATCAATTTCTAAGCAAGAGATAAGATTTTTACTCCTACCATTTGCAATAGCCTGAAAATACCTAGTGTTACCATACCCCTCTTTAATCCATTTCTCCCTCGACTTTTGTTTCCAACTTATTTCCTCCCTAAGTAGAGCCTCTTGAAGTTCCATTTTCAACTTCGACCTTAGACTTCTGGACCAACTGCACCCTTTCCTCCCTACCATTAGTGGGGCGGTCGGACATAATCAACCGCACCCTTTCTTTTCTCTTCTTCTCTCTTCTTCTCTTCGGTTCTGGGTTAATCTTTCTTCTCTTTTCTCTCTGAAATCACATCAGAAAACAAACCTTTTTTGTTTCTTTTTATTCCAGTTTCTCTTTTTTGTTGCACTCCCTAATCCCCTCAATTCCAACTAATAATCAGACAATGCTATCCTCCTTCCTTCCTATAATCCCCCTTTTCTTCTCTCTCCCCTAGCACTGAACTCCTTATCCCCTTCCTCCTCATTGATTAATTTCTCCACTTTTCTACCGTCACCTCCCTTCTCCACTTTGTTGCTGGAGTAAGCCATTGGCTCCTTCTGAGAATCGCACATCACCAGATTTCCTTGCTTCCATCTTCCTCCCTTCAATCTAGTTCAAACAACTAGATTAGGTCCTCCATTTGTTTTAGATGGGATTCAACACCAGTAGAATGACCCAATGAATATGCTTTATAGTTATGAGTAAAAAAAATCATAGGGCCATTGCTTTGCCCAATAGTAAAATCTTGGGCTGATGAGCATGAGAATGTGGTTTCAAGGCCCTGAGAGGGTGCTTTATGGATAAAATTGAAATGGTAGGCCTGTATTATCATACCTTTTCAAAGACTCCAAATAACTAGACCAACATTGCAAAATGGCCCTTTTTTCAATTTGGTATCAGAGTCTATGGTCAGTTAGTGCAGCAGTATATGGTGGTCCTCAGTAGAGGACTAATAATTTCATGCAGTATAGTATATCTTTTCTGAAATGTCTTTTTTATTTGAGAATTTGTAGTTATTGGATTATTTGATTGTCTATCATTTGAAATGTGGTTACTAGAGTATGCTTGTAGGTATTATTTTGGATATTCATCAAGGCTGAGCCCTAAAAGAAGTCCATCTGGATTCCATTTGAGAGGTTGGCACATGGTGTCTGCCTTTGCACCATAAAGAAGCACAATAGAATTTTGGCAAGCCCCAGATGTTGGGAAGTAAAACCACATTTTCGATGGCTGTGCCCTTAGCAAGCCATGTGCCTTGGGTGTAGGAGGCATCTTTAGAAATGGTTCAGGAATCTTGTTGTTGAGATACTCTGGCTCTATAATGAAATTTTCTTGGAACAAAATTACTTTTTGTTTTGCAAGGATTAAAGTTTTCTTTTGCTTGATGTTGGAATAGTAAGTCAGTGATGTGATTGTAGGCCTTCAGTTTGACTACCTCAGCTGGTCCCTGGCCACTTAAATACCAGCTAAGGCATTGTCCTCTAGGTTGAACAGTTCATTCGGGTGTTTGCCTGGATCAGGCAGCACCTTTGCTGATTTACTGTCATGAAACAGGGAATCTTACTCCATTAACTATTGTTTTATTTATTTATTTGTGCCACTGAGAACTTTGAGCATTGTGTATATAGATAATCTGTGTTCTTTCCTGGTATTATGTACTACTATATTTTGTTAGAATTATGTTTCATTTAGGTAGTTCTTGAAGGGGAAGTAGTAAGATACCCAATTGACATTCCTTAAGGACAGTTGGCAATTGATATATATTGGACACTCAGGTGGTATGGCCTTTCACGGGAATTTCCTAGAATTACCAGTTACCAACACACCAGAATGAAGTGAAACTAGATGATTCGAATTTGTGAACTGCGTAAAATTTCTTCTGAATCATCCAGTATATTGTTTGCGGATCTCTGGTAAATTGCAATACTGTGATAATAACAACCATATGATGGAACCAATCTTAGCGTGGATCTCCTATGCTGATTCCTCAGAATGGTTTCTACTGTCATAGTGTCATCTGCATATGTACAGTGTTAATTGACTACTTGGTCATGTTGATTTTACATGTCCAAAGTCCAAAAAAATAGGGGGGAGGGCTCAGTTTCTGTTATCATTTTATAATTGGACCTTGGATTGAGATCATAATTCTAAAATGTGTTAGGATATCATATTGCAGGTAGAGCATATGTTAAGTGACCATTTGACGGAGTTTATGAAAGTTGATTTAGAAGGTGCAAAGGTGATCCATTTTCTTCTTTTGATCATAACATTTTGCATGATTTAATAGTTTTGCAGCTGATGTTAGTAGCTTAGGCAACATTACCAGTAAGAAATTGTATTTTTCCTTGTGTGTTCGTTCTGAGACTGCAGAAAAACCTTGTGTATTTTCTTTTACTGTTGGATCTTCTTGTTGCCAATTGAAAAATGAAAAGAAACCACTTAATATTTTTGCTACCATCCATGATAATGTCAAATGGTATGAAGAGGAAAACATGGTCTGGAGTAAATGGATTTTCTCAATGATTGATACTATCCATTATTTAATAGTGTAATGAGAGGTGGAAAACATAGTATAGAATTAACCATACAATAAATGGGCATTATTATGCTTGATGTATTAGCAGCTACATTATTTTTTTTTTCAAAATCATAAATATTTTATTTGCAAATAAATTAGAGGATTAATAGTGTTTACACCACGGGCCACTTGTTTAGTATATCTCTACAATGATATAAGATTGATGAATTAAAGAAGCTGTCTCTTGATCCAGTCTGACGGTGTCTCCTCAATCAAGGTAATAAATTAAAATTTCTTTCTTTTTGATACATAAATAGTTATTTTATTAGATTGAAAAGAATAGCTAATACATGCAACCCTTGGAGAGGCACGAGCTATGACCTCTCCCACTAAAGAAGAAAACTAAAACAAGTTACTATTCTGCCGAATACAAAAGTTCCCTAGCTGCCTCTTGCTTGGTTAGACAATCATCCACAGCATTTGCTGATCTCCCCACCCATTGTATTCGTAGACACATATTCCTTGTCAGCACTTTGAATTTCTTTATCCCTGAAACACCAAACTACTGACTTTGGGTTTTGCAACATAGGGTAAAGGATGCTCAAGGAACTAAGGAGTGTTAAGATGGGAGAGGCAGAGGAGAGATTCAAGATGGCAGGTCGTTGGAGAAGGGCATTGAAGGTGGAAGCAAAAGATTTTCTGTTTGAAGAATGGAGATCTAAAGGAGTGCTGGGGTTGAAGATTAGGGAAGCTAAGAAGGCTACTATGTTACTGGAGGGTGGTGGAGTGATCGAGTGGTTTAAGGACTTTGTGCTTGGAGCAAGTCTCAAAGGGAAGCAAAAAGACATGGAAGAGTTTGGCTCTGAAGAAGGAAAGAGGTATGTTGTAGAATGTAAAAGGAACAACAAAGGTTCATATATAGCCTTACTAGAATTTTTTGGAAAGGGTAAGAAGCAGATTGCTTGCTTCCCCGAAGGAAGACAGGGCCAAGGCTGGAGGGAAGTAGCTAGAATTCTTAATGAGTTTTTACAATGCCTGGTAAAAGCACAAGCAGAGGTCCCAACAGAATTGAAAGAGGTTAAAGAAAACAGTAGTAATACAGAAGATCTGGGACAAGAGATAGTGGTTCTGGCAAAGACTAATGGGCAATGTAAGATGGCTGCTCTATCAAAAGAGGAAGATTGGGAGAATAAGTTTGTAATCCAAGCGAAAAACCATGTCAGTGATTGGAGGATAGTTGCAGACTTACTGATACAGAGGTTGAAATTGAAAGGTATGTTTATTGTAACACCTTTTGGGAGTTGTAAGGTTTTGTTGGATCTGGTTGAAGATAGGTTAGACTTGTCTGCAACTACCATTCAATCAGATCTTGGATTATTTACAATTTTTAGATGGAGTCCTTTTTCCAACTCTAAAGAGTTCTCTGTTGAAGATGATGTGATTGTACGTTTGTTGGGATTTCCCTTCCACCTGTGGAGGCAAGAAGTGGCTGAATCTATAGCCCATCTGTGTGGAGGGCGACTCACGGGTGTCTTCTGGGGGGATCTCCGCTCAGCTGCTATATTATTAAGTGGAGTAAGGCCAGAAGATCTGCCGAGGAAAATAGACTTAAGAGTGGAAGAAGATGTATTGCATGGATCAAGGGGATTGGTGAACTCAAATGGGAAAAGAATTTCACCAAAATGGGTAAACAGGAGCTGATGGGGCTGGAAGGTTTGATGCAGAAGGAAGATCAAAAGAGTGGCATACAAGGAAACAAGATGGTGTGTAGCAGGTCTTATGCACAAGTGGTCAAAGGTGGCGGGTCAAAGGGGATTGATCGCAGCTCGCGCCTCTCCAAGGGCTGCTTGTATGTGCTAACTTTTCCAAATCAATAAAAAGTTCATTTATTTATCAAAAAAAACATGCTTATTACTTATTGCCTTGGAGTCCCCTTCAACTACTAGCAGTTCTAACCCTAGTTGAGTTGCAAACTGTACACCTTGCAGGACAACTAATATTCCCCAAGACTCCTCCCAATCCAGAAGGGTTTGGGTTACCTTGGTTGCTACTCTTAAAGTTCAACTTCAAGAAGCCTATAGGAGGAGGTGCCCAGCTTGTTCTTACTCTAACCTTGGAAGGGGAACAACTTGCCACTGTTGACCAATTCCTCCAAATATTGTTAAAGTAGAATTGGTGGGACATATCTTGAGATTTTAGCCAATGAATAACCCTATTCAAGACACAATCCTTAATCTCTTAGTTGAAAGGTTTAGAGATGTTGGAAGAAGAGTGTCGAGAATGCTTGGTGTGCTACTGTTCACACCAAGGGACTTTTCATTTTACTTCACAAGCAAAATTACAAAGGTGCCCTTGAATAGGCACCCAAATACAAATATTCATAAAAGGACAGAAATGCCCTCACACTCTTAACACTCCCCCTTCAAGCTGAGCATAGATATCTATCATGCTCAGCTTGTTCAAATTGTTGTCAAGTTTTGATTTGGGAACACCTTTAGTTAGACAATCAGCCAATTGGTCTTCAGACCGCACATAAGGTAGACAAATCTCTCCACTGACAACTCTTTCTCTAATGAAATGCCAATCAACCTCTATATGCTTTGTACGATCATGTTGTACAAGATTGTGGGCTATGTTTATGGTAGCTTGATTGTCACAATATAATATCATCGGAGTATCAATCTGCATTTCCATTTCTATCAAGAAGTTCTTTAGCCACAACAATTCTTAGTCTTGTTGCTGGAGTCTTGCCTTCCTTTCAGCCTTTCATCAGATTTGATGTGTGCTCAGGTAATAAAATTCTGTTTTGGGAGGACCTTTGGCTTGGGAACACCCCCCTTAAGGATAGATTCACGGTAATGCATTCTCTTTCCCTAAATAATTTCAATACCATCTCCTCACTTCGTGTGTTTGAGGGGACTTGGGATTTAGGTTTAAGAAGAGGGTTGAGGGATTCATAATTGGCTTATGCAGATGAGTTGTTCACTATGTTGAGTTCAGTTTTCCTAGATCTTTCCTACCTAGACAGTAGAATTTGGAAAGAGTCTTCTTCAGGGACTTTCTCTTGTTCATCTTTTTTCAACGCCTTAGCTCAGTCTTCTATTGTGTCCATCTCCTTTCCTATTAAAGAAGTTTGGCATTTTCCTGTGCTGCCAAAGGTTAGGGCTTTTTTTGCTGGGAAGTGGCTCTTCAAAAGATCAATACTATGGATGTACTTAAAAGAAAAAGGCCATATTGGTGCCTTTCCCCATGTCTGTTACCTTTGCTTAAGAAATGGTGAGGTGGTGACTCATCTTTTGATTTCTTGTCCTTTTGCTTCTTATTTGTGGGGTTGGTTCTCTTCTTTGTTTGGCTGCAGATAGACCTGTTCATGGGCTGGGCCGGGCTTTGCATGTGTATCAACAGGACACACTTAGGCCCAAGCTCGAGCCCAGCCCGAGCCCGACCCTCATATAAAGTCTGAAGCCCGGACTCGAGCCCGAGCCTGACTAGAAATTTGAAAACAGATTTTTTTTCCTTTTTTTATTCAATAAAAAATTGTTTTATTTATACTAAAAACCTTCAAAAATAAAAAATAATAAACATCTCACTATTACTTGGAGAAAAAAGAGAAGAACAAAGAAAAATATTGCACATATGTTTTTTATTAAATAAAATATATTTTTATTATTTAATATATAGTATTAAGTCGGGCTCGTGCTCGGGCTAGGCTTTTTTGAGAAAGCCCGAACCCGGCCCGAAAAAAAGTCGGGTCGGCGCTTTAGGCCTGAGTCTGAGCCCGCAGGCCTAAAATTATGACCAAGCCCGACTTATAACGGGCCAGGCTGGGCCAGCCTGTCGGGCTATCGGGCCCGTGAACAGGTCTAGTTGTAGATGGAATCCCCATTCGGGTGTGCTGAACCTTTTTGACTCTAGTTTCTTTTGACAACCAAGGAAAAGAGGCATGGTAGTGTGGAGAATTAACAAGAGCAGCCATCCTATGGTCAATTTGGGAAGAGAGAAACAATAGGATCTTCCTAGGGCAAGAAAAATCTAAGGAAGTACTTGTTGAGGTTGTCACCATCAAGGTTATGCTGAAAGTACTTCATCTCTTCAAGGACTTCTACTCAGCTGACTTAATTAGAAATTGGAGTGCTATAGCATGTATCCTCTCCTTCCTCCCCTGTGATACAAAAAGTTGGGTACCACCAACTCAGTTCAGGGTGAAGCTAAACTTTGATGGAAGCTCCTTGGGTAATCCAGGTCAGTCGGGAGTTGGGGGTGTGTTCAGAAATGAGGAAGGAAAAGTCTTGGCCCTTTACTTGGGCCCAATTGGGGTGGGAGAGTCATTAAGGGCAGAAGTAATGGCCTTACTTCAAGGTTTGAGACTGGCAAAACAATGGGGAATGCAGCAATTAGAAGTGGAAGGATACTCCAAGCTGGTAATAGGGTGGATGCAATCTGGAAACTTGGGAGTTTGGTCTCTTAGACAGCCTCTAAGAGAAATTATTAGCTTAGCAAGGGAGATTGGGGTGCATTTTAAATGGGTAAGAAGGTCAGCAAATGGAATGGTTGACACTTTAGCTAAGCAAGGAGTTACTAGGGAGGCTTTGTTTTTAAGTTTTTTTTTTTTTTTTTTTTTCCATCCATTTTGTGGGTGGTAAGTCTGTAATCTTTTCAATTCTCTAATGAAAGTTACCGTTGTTTCCTATCAAAAAAAGAAAAAAGTCTAGACATTCTTTCAACTTTTAACAAATTGTAATGAATGTATAACTTGGGGTTTTCATTTTTGTTTAATGAAATTTGAAGTTACCTATCAAAATTCATATATATCTGTATGTATGTATGTACTTATGTTTGTATGCATGGAAAGTAGGACTGTGTTTGGTTGCAATGCGGATTTATTTGCACTGATGCAAAACCATGGTGTGCAAATGATTTTAGTGCAAATTATGATTTATTTTTATTTTAAAATTTACCTTTTTTTGTTTGATTGCAGTAAAAATGGAGAAAATAAAGCCTGAAACAGAATAAAGTAAAACCCAAAATAAAATTAAGCCAAAGTTTGCATTCTTTTCATTTGCACTCCCATTCATTTGTATGAGTGCAAATAAAATTGCACTGCAACCAAACACAGCCTAGGGAACACTATTTGCATCATTCAAATCATTCTGCAGGTTATTTTTTCATTAAACTTCCTTAAAGCAGGTTATTGAGGATGAATACAAGCAAGTTTCTTGAGGAGCATTTAGCACATTGCTTGGCTTAAAGTTATATCATGTGGATGCACTCCTATTTCTTCATTGAACTGCCTTAAAGTTCCTTCTTGTTTTAGTCTGTGTATTTATTTGTATTCTCTGTAGGAGTGTCGTCGACGCTTTGACAAAGCTACACATGCTTATGATCAGGTATTCCTAGATCCTGTTCTTTACTTCATTCTGTTTTACAATAACCTAAATAGTGGCTTCCTTATACATCAGATGCTTCATGCTGAAACTATAGTTAAGCAACACTCAATTTTCCAACATGTCTATCATTCTTTTTTCCCAGAGCCTCCATAATTTGGCTACAATATTTTCTTGTTTCTCTTGATGAAGGAATACTTGCTGTACGTTGTTTTTGTTTTTCTCAAGGGAAAGGCCCCAACCTTGACTTGCTTTGTGTTATGGTTTAGATGGAATTGACATTTGGAAGACCATTATCCATTATCTTTCAACATTCTTGTTGGTGGTTTTCTCATTTATTAACCTCGGGCTTTGTTTGATCTAAATTGCAATAAATATTTGGGTTCGACTATGATACCTGAAAAACTTGTAACCAGTCAACCAGTATCATAAAAGGGGTAACCAATGAGGTGGTTATTTATCAATTTTTTTTGAAGGTAGATACAAATTTTACTAAAAGAAAGAGAGAAATTACAAGAAATGTGACCAGTAGTCACCTGAGGGAACAAACCAACCTCCACTCACCTCCCAATTCAACACTCCCCACTTCAAACCATGCTAAAACTATTACAGATCCAATTAGAAAACAATTTACAACACCAACTCCAGACTTCCTACCATTCAGAACACTCCCTCAATCTCAGCAAAACAAAACCAAAAAAGACCAAAAACCCCCAACACAAAGGAACTCAACTCCTTACTCATCTCTTTCAGAAGGGTGGGTTAACTGAATTTGGTAACTGTTTTACTGGCTATGGCACCAATCATCTTGATCCAGACCAGCCATAGTGAGAGATTGAGTGATTGTGGGCCATATGCACTTAATAACTGGTGCGGAACAAAATGATTGGTGCCACAGCTGGTAATGCTGATGAAAGGACTGATCTTAGCCCAAAAAAGTCAATCCTTGCTGGGTCGAAAGGTGGAATTTTTGAATCAATCTTGAGTCAGCCAAAACAATCAATATATATATATATATTGCTTTAATCCAAACGTATTTTAAAGAAATTGTAAGTGGACTAGTGGAGAGGCTTGAACCCTGGTCATTTGCTTTAAAATTTAAAGAACTAGTCATCTGTCCACCACATTCAAGTATGATATCATATATATATTTTTTGAGAAAAAGTTAACGATATCATATATATATATATATTGATCAGCAACACAGAAATGATTCATTAAATTAAAAGGATGTGTACAACAAGAAGTTGTGGGTAGACAAAACATCCACAGAAACCCCACTAATTACAATACAGACCCAAGCGTAACCCAACAAAGAAATTCATTAGTTACAAACAAGCCCCAAAGGATATCCCATTAACTATAACATAGCCCAGAACATAGATTGCCTTTGAACTCCTTGCTTAGCTAGACCATCAGCTATGCTATTAGCTGATCTCCTAATCCATCTTATGTGAATTTCCATATCTTTAGAAGCCTGCTTAAAGCATCTGAACTCATTTCTTAATCTCTAGATTGCTTCTTCCTCTTTTTTTAGCCACTTTACAACAACTTTTGAGTCCCCTTCAATAATCAACCTGTTAATCCCCTTCCAGTGTTTTAAAAGGCGTGGGAGGCACGCCTCCAAGCAAGGCTCTCCCAAAACGCCCTGAGGTGTATGCCAGAGGCACTGACACCTTTGAGGCGTACGCCTCTTGCGCTTTTTTCATTAGGCGTGCAAGAGGCGTACACCTCATGTGCCTCATGCACATCTGATATAAAAAGACAGAAAAAAAAGAAAAAAGAAAAAAAAAGGAAAGGAAAAGAAAGGGAAGGGAAAGAAAAAGAAAGAGAAGAAAAAAAGAGAAAAGGAAAGGGAAGGGAAGAAAAGATAAGGGAAGAAAAGACCCCCCCCTTTCAACTAATGTTATACATCTTTATTCTTCTTAATATAAAAGATTTTATTAAAAATAAAGAAAAAATGAGATCCCCCCTTCTTGCGTTCTGAACTACGCCTCACGCCTCTAGATAGTGGAACGCCTTGCGTCACGCCTCCGCATTTTAAAATTGTAGGAAACTGTGGACCCCACATTAATGTACTCGTGGGACAGCATAGATTTAATTAATTCTTGATTAGGATTAGCTTTCCTAGTAGGATTAGTTTTAATCTTATCTTATCCTTCCATGTAAAACATTAAGTCCTATTACAATTATGAAAGCATGCATATAAATTCAAAGGGTGGGGCGGCTGTTTAACACAACCAACCACTCTCTTCTCCTAAAACCCTTCCACGAGTTCTTCTTCTCCATCTCTCTTCTTCTCTTCTAATTTTCTTTTATTTTCTGTTCAAATGTGTAGTCTTGTACGACTACTTGGTATCAAAGCTCGGATTAGGGATTCTCATGTGAGTTTGATCCAGTCAACCACATGAGAGTTTCCTAGGGCTGGAAGAATAGAGAAAGCTCTCTTCAGCTGATTCTTGGAGGTTATCTACAGCAGCAGTCCAAAGATTGGATCGTACCTTTGATAACCAGGAAGAATCAGAGGAAGAGAAAAGGATCAAGATCAATCCTTGATCAGTACTGGAGGTGGCGATCTGAATTTTAAAGGATTTCTGTTCGATCAGTACTAGAGGTTGTGATCAGAATTTCAGAGGATTTCTGTTCAAGATCAGAATTTCCCCTTCAAGATCAGAGGATCAAGATCAGTTCTTGATCAAGACTAGAGGTGGCAATCAGAATTTCAGAAGATTTCTGGTTCAAGGTCAGTTTTTTTTTTTTTTCTCTTCAAGACTGAGAGAGAATAAAAATCTCAGAAGTTTTTCATCAGGATCAGAGCTTTTCAGAATTTTCTGGTAAGTTTTTCAATCTTTCTTAAGATCGGCAGCAAGAATACCTTGATATAAGAGGTACGAAAAAAACTCCAGAAGATTTCTGTAGTCCTTTTTAGGGTTTAAGACAAAACCCTCAGGTTTCAGGGCTGTTATTGCTTCAGGACTTGTCTCCTTCGATTTCTTTGCTCTCTGGAAGATCCAGTAGAGTTGTTTCAGTAGGACTGTTACAACAGAACTGTTATTTTTTTTACTGCTATCAGTCTGAATAGGTCGACTATCACAGAAATTAGGGCTTCTTTTACTGCTATTACTTGCTTCAGACCCAGTAGGACGACTGGTACAGTAATTAGGATTTTTTTTTTTTATTGATCATTAATGGAGTTTAAAAGCCAAGGGGAGGGTGTTTTTGGGACAGGTTCAAGTAGCATGTTTGAAAACACCTTCCAGATTACAACTGTAAAGTTTGATGGTTCAAACTATTTAGAATCGGCCCAATCAGCCATGATGGCCATTGGGGGAAGAGGAAACCTGAACTATTTGTTAGGGGATATGAAGGAACCAACTAAGGAGGATCCCACTTATGTTAGGTGGATTCAGGAAAATTATTTGGTGATGACATGGCTGTGCAACTCCATGTAGCCACACATCAGCCGAAATTATTTATGGGCAAAAACATCTAAAGAAATATGGGATGTTTTGAAAGAAACCTACTTTCAGCCCCTTAATGTTGCTAGGGCTTATGAGCTGAAATGGGAAGTTAGAAATCTCAAACAAGGAGAGAAACAAGTCTCTGTTTATTTTTCAACCCTAAAATCTCTGTGGCATGAAATTGACCATCTTGAGACAATAGAATGGGAAAGTCAGAGAGATGCACAGACTTACAGAAGACAAGTTGAAACTAACAGAGTATTTGAGTTCTTGGCTGGTCTAAATTCTGAGTATGATATTATAAGACAACAGCTGTTGACAAGAGAGGGTGTGACTTTGTCTCAAGCCTATTCCCTAGTGCACAGTGAGGAGACTAGGAAAGGTTATGTTGCAGCAGCAACCTTTCGAATCTGCCCTGGTAGCAGTTAAACCCAAGTCTAGGGGAGATAAGGAAAGGGATATGAAGAAAGAGGCTAAGAAGGATCTAATGTGTGAACATTGCAAGAAACCTAGACACACTAAAGACACTTGTTGGAAGTTACATCCACATCTGGTTCCAGCAAAACTCAGAAACAAAAAGGGGAATGCCAATATGGCTGTTAACACTGATAGTGTAGACTCAACAACCTCAAGAGGCACTCCTCTAGACACCCTAGCTGCTGTCCGATCTGCTCTGACACAGTTGGAAAGTGAAGTTAGTGACTCAGTACCATCTCCTCAGCCACCATCAGCTCCTTCAACCTCATCTTTTGCTCAATCAGGTAATCGGGCCTCAGCTTATCATGCTTCAGCTCCAAGTAATACAGAACATTCTTGGATAATAGATTTAGGAGCATCCGACCATATGACTAGCTTGCCATCACTTTTTTCTACCTATCATTTATCTTCTGGCAAAGACAAAGTGTCCATTGTTGATGGATCCCTTGTCCCTATTTCTAGCAGAGGAGACATCAAGTTGTCTGATGCCATTTCCCTATCCTCCCGTCTTGCATGTTCCTAAGCTTAATACTAACTTGCTTTTAGTTAGTAGCATTATAAAAAAACAGAACTGCTCAATAACCTTTTTTCCTGATAGATGTGCTTTTTAGGATATGGAGACAAGGAAGGTGATTGGGACTGTCCGTGAGACGAACGGAATCTACCTACTTGGAGGAAGTGCTCATCAGGAAGATAGTGAAACTAAGAAATCCTTCGTTTCTTAGTCTGTTGATCAGATGATGCTTTGGCATAATAGGGTGGGCCATTTATCCTTTCATTCCTTGAAAAGTTTGTTTCCTAGTTTATTTGAATATGTCCAGATGTCTAGTTTGAAATTTGAGAGTTGTGAGCTTGCAAAACATTGTAGGACAACCTATTCATTAAGTAGTAATAGGAGCAATATTCCTTTTGAAATTGTGCATATTGATGTTTGGGGACCCTATCATACCACTGCCATGGGGGGGTATAGATATTTCCTATTATTTGTTGATGATTATACTCGGTTTTCTGGGGTTTACCTTATGCGTTCTCAAGATGAGGTCCCAGCATTAACCGGAATTTTTC